ACCTTGATCTTGCTTGCCAATCATGCTAGTCTAGTTTACTCTTTGATTTTTGAACTCGTTAAATTTTAATCAAAGAGAGCCGGGGCTCCTCGACCACCTTGTTGCTTCCACCAGAATTTCTCAATGCATTTAAGTCAAATTGGTCCTCGAGATTTTGATTACAAACACGGGCCTGCAACACCGAAATGAAATTTGAGAATGTATTATTGAAGAAAAGCTAAACTTGCAGTAAACGCTTACTCCTAGCTTCTGGAAAGCTCAAAGTGTGATACCCAGCGTGCTGGTGCACCTAATTCAAGTTTTTTTATATGTAAACATATTCACATTATTAAATGTTTTAAGCATATGGTACTTAACAATTAATGTGAAAACTCACGTAGGTAACTCTTTGTAATTGTACAGCATTTTCGTCTGCTCAATATAATAATTTGAGGCGCGAAAAACGTCAAATATGCCATAAAATTAAAATAAATCAAGATATCAAATGAACTGCATGAGATACTGCTGGTTTCAATCGCAGATGATCTAACATAAGTTGAATTGATCAAGTTTTATTCATTATATTGAAGAATTTAAAATTTTTGTTTCCTAATTGTTCAATGTTCATATATTATTCACACGTAATAGAAACGGACCTCTATAACCTGCTTTTCACTTAAAAAAGGGTAAACTGTGAAAATGTTAAGAGATGAATTCTTAAAATTTGGCACATTCTCGCTGCGTCCAAAAGGCCTTCTTGTAAAGTCTCTTGATGCGGACGTCGGCTTTCCTGTCCGATGCCGCTTTACCGGCTGATGTTGGAAGGAATCAAAATCATCTGCTTCACGAAAAAAATTCTTCAATTCGAATAAATTTTTGTATGTTAGAACTTTCATTGGCGTTTTCATTACATTTATGATTGGAAGAATCATATGCGTTAACGTCGAAAAGTTCCCATTTTAGCACATTGATTTAAAACTGACTTTACTCGTTGCTGTGGAATCCGAATACAAATGTAAGTTTCAATATTATCAGAATGTAACTCGTCAAAAATTCACGCATGAATGAAAAATGAAACTTGATTCTCAAACCTAAACTTGGATTTTTACATTTTAGGCACATGCTGGAAAAAAATTGCAGCCTCTTTAAAAATCCCAAACTAGTGTCAAGGTTTCTTGAATTCAGTCTCTAGCACAGACCCGTAAATTTTCCAGGTTTGTAATTTTTAACAATTTTAGGCACTAGAACAGACGTGAAGAAGCACAACTCGCCTTGTTGTGATGACAAGCGCATTTTAAACTTTGTATATTGATGTAAAAAATGGTGTCATGTTTCCTGACGATCACCGTGACTTTAGTTAATAGTTCAAGTGCAGGCTTGACTACTCGAGAGCACTTCAGTCGAAGCATGGCAGTGTTGGGCACAATAAAAAAAAGTTCGTTATGCAGTTGTTGGCACAAGCTACATTTTTACGGTAAATGGCAAAGAAATATAAGTCAGTTATATTCAAATTCAAAGAAATGTAAGTCAGTTATATTTAAAAACGGCAAAGAAACATAAGTCAGTTATATTTAAATTGAGTATACTTTTCATTCAGGTTGTAGTAAAGATGTATATGATGTTAATTCGACGGCTGCAGGGCAGAAGACGACATCGAATACTTACCGCAGCCCAATAGCCACGCGCGACCAGACTCATCCATCAGAGTCTAACACCCGGAGATGAAAGTGCTCGTTTTTATCGAAGCAAGCTGGAAGAAATCAGCCGTCAAAAATCACACAATTCTAGAGAAGAAGAACCGAAATGCTGAAACACATTAATAAATGGCATAAATATTTTGAAAAATAAATTACCTACGTTTGTTGGGAAACTGAAGAAAAATAAATAAACTAAAGATAATAATAAAATCGAAAATAGTTATCAGTCCAAAACTGAAATCAATGCATGGGATACATTATTTCAGACTAGTATCACAATTTATCACTACACTGAAGGATTAGGGAAGCGATCGTGTTTCGTCGATGGTGATGAGGTATGGATGATATACAAATATCGAGTATTAGATATTTAATGTACTTGAGTATTGATGTTGAAAGAGCCCGTAACAGGATTTTTGTTTCTAAAATAGGAGAGAATCGTTATGTTTTAGCCTGATTGCACTATTCATGTAGTAAAGAATGTATATTTGCTGTCTAAATGATCTCCTTCTTAATTGTTGAAAAACTGCTTAGTAGAACCTTAGTAAATTAACTTAGAACCAAAATGGCTTAACGCTGTTCACTGCAGTGAGTACTGATATTGAGTTATATTTTTTTTATTATTTTGGGCATAACAACCATTGCGTTTCTAATGTTCTAAATTTGACTCCGAGAAATATTAATACTCTCATATCAGGCAAACATAAATTAAATGTATCTCGAGTCATCCAGAGAAAATAATCTGATGATGATGTATTGACGAGTTAACCATAGATTAAATTAATTGAAATAAAGGTTTGAATGTATGTTAGGGAATTTTGCGATGAGTAAAGTCGTGAATAGAGATAACATCTTTTTTTTTATGGCCGGAGTTTCCCATGCACCTAACGAGTTCTTTGTTTCACGTGTTTGCATTTAACCTTCAGACGGTGGGCCAGGTCGTCCAGTCTTCGTGAATCTAGTTTCGAAAAACGCCGAGTGATGAATTTATTCTTGGTGTTGCGAGAAACAGCGTCCGTCTTTGTAGGCGACCGTGCGACTGAAACGCGGAACTGAAATGAGCTACCGCCTTGAAACGACGTAAAGCACAGGTCGAGCGTGCATGCATTCCGGGGATTTGCATTTGAATAAAGTCTTTCTTATTTTTCACTTGAAATTATGCATGAATTCATGCTGAAAATTTTTGTAATCGTAAAATTTTAGTTATATTGTAGAATAATTTTACTGAGCGATCTTTCATGCAGACTATGACAACATTTACAGCGCTTGTGATGTACCTCATGAGTCATGACCCTCAAGACACTAGAGTATTGGCCTCTTAATCAAGTGTAAGGACAACAATTTAGGTTTTTTGATCTTATTAAAAAAATAAAATTACACAAAGAGAAACGGATGCGTTGCATTCTAAAGTATATAAATTAGCTGTAAATCATTGCACGTTATTCTTTTGACATACTCCAAATGAATCCAGGAGCAAAGTAATTTTTGAGTCATACTTATCAATTCCAATAGTAAAACGCACTTATTTTATAACCTTCCTCTGCTTATCATTTCAGCTTATTATAGGGAATTAATGCAGTTTGTGATCAACTGGTGCAAACAACAATTCTGGCTTGTGACCTTGATTTGTGCCGGTAATACATCCTGATAACAGCTCCTCTATTAGCTACCTTAATTAGTCATCCCTCATCTTTGTTTGCAGCGTCCAATTTAAACTGTCGATTCATAAATTTTTCCTTTATTTACAATTTAATTACTTCGATTTATTACAGTCAGGTCTAAAACTTAGCCAAGCTAATATGGGTAATATCTAAACAATTGTGCTTAGTGTATACAAATTAATAACAATTCTCTGCATGCGTCACTCAAAAATGTTGCGTTACATGTATAATATATACATATAAAGCTTCATGAAAATGTTCCCAACGAAATAAGTAGTCTTGTAAAGTGTGTAACCTCGATGTATGAATCTCCCTCGTAAACGTTTATTTTACTCGTATCTTTATTAGTTTGCCTCTAAACATGATATATATATGTCCCTTATTACAAATCTGGGAATCCCGATAGTTCCTGTTAAATATCAAAAGATGAGTTAACCCACGAACCTTTCTTGCGACGACACTTGCATCTTGCCTCCAGAAGCCAATTTTCTTTTAGAATAGAATAGAAAGAAAAATGTTGTCGCATGGATGTGTTACAACGCAGTTTTTTTAGTTTATAGCTGTGGCCCCTGGTGTTGGTTCTTGTTTCAAATTCTAGTAATCCTTCGGGGACCTTGTATAAGCCATGAGTATACTTGTAAGCTTCAATGAGTTCCCCACGCAGACGTCGATAACTGAGGCTTGGAAGCTTCATAATCTTTAATCTTTCCTCTTAGGACTTGCCTTTCAAGCCCGGAACTATCCTTGTTGCGCGTCTTTGAACACTCTATCAAATTTTATTTGTCAAAACGTGCGGCAAGAGAGTTGTTATAAATTTAAGTTCCAGAACAGAAAAGACGCGATTTATGACCGCGGTCAGCAACACTAATGTCTCAGTCCTAAAATATGATTTGGCGCATCGTTTTCGGAATATGAAGTTTTCGGAAAAGTGATTAGCTGATGTTTATCAGTTTTAATAATCTGATGTTTTTGTTTGTTGTAACTGAAATAGAATCTTGCTTCGATGAAGTAAAGCACAGTTCGTCATGTAACGCAAAAAATGTTCATAATATATCCGCAAAATTGACACGTGATGATATTGAAAATTATTTTGAAGTGCATAATGTTATATAGGTTAATTATTAAGATTTTTTGAAGTTCTCGCGATTTGGGGAAATAAATTGAGGATATTTCCCTTCGTGCGGAATTATTACTGAAATTATAACAAGCGGAAAAATTTTGTGTATAAATCCGCCTTGATTCCTGTAACAATGCCATATAAATGTACATATATTTAGATTTAAAATTATTGTTTGGTTAGATATTAAACGGTAGAGCAATGAAATGAAACAATTTTTTTCCAATATCACATCGGGTTAATTTTTAGCAGTTGATGACGATAATTTGTGTAACATATGAATTCGTGGTTCCTACTTCGAGCATTATAGTCGGAAATTTTACAATTATAAATGAGGGATAATAAATAAAGAATAATCAAACAAATTATGATGTATTATTTTTTAGAATATTTAACATCGGATTAATATCAATGATTAAATATCCTGGGACAGTACTTCGATTGAAGCTAATGAATAATTATAAAATATGTTGACAAATTTCAACAAATTATAATATTTGTTGTTATTATACAAATATTTATTTTTATACAAAATACAATCAAATTATAATATTTGTTGACGATCACAATACCGACATCTACTCCTCGCTGGAGCTGTCGTCGGTTGAGGTCTCAGTTTGCGTAGTTGCCTGTGCTGTTGAAGGCGGCTGGTGCCACCTTCTGTGATGTCTGTATAAGTGGTCTTTCCGCTTGTAGGATGCCAGGCATATGTCGCACACATATGGCCGCAAAATCGAGTGCACCACTTGGTGGCGCTTTAAATCAACCCTGCACATGGAGAAATAACATAACATGTAACTGTAAATTACTTGTAACTTTTAACTGCACAAAATAAAACACAATTTCCAACATGCGAAAGTTTAACTGTACTCATACCTCCTATTAAATGCCGCTTGGCAATTACTACAGTTGAACTTTTTTTTCTTCGTATCCCCCTCTTCCTCCTCTGATACGGCATTATCTGAGCTCGGCCTTTCGCCTTCTTCCTCCTTGGTGGAGGAAGAATGATCTATTTCCTCATCGCTATTTTTTGGGCTAGATGAATGAGATTCTTCCTCATCGCTAGAGTTACGGTTTCCCATTTTTTCTGTTGAGAGACATGTTGGGGGTTTAGTAATGTAAAATTTTTATTATTATATTTATTATTATTATTTTTAAGTTTTTTTTAAATGAATGAATGTAATATTTTTATTACATTTTTCTTATTTAGAACTGTAAAGTGTTGTTTTATAATTTTAGGCAAAAAATATGCAATTGTGCAAAAGCAACCAAGGGTGGGTGCCTTGCCCCTAGCCCTTGGGCCAATTGCCCCAGGGGTGGGGCAATGGGCCCATTTTAACACTTTTTATAAAATAGTATTTCATTAAAAATTGACTAACTCTATAAGTGTCTAATTCACATCATACATTCCTCATTAGTTGTAACTTTAAACAAAACAAAGAACTACCTCGTTGCAATTGAAACTTTATCAAAAATTTAATTTAAAAATGGGAGGGGGGAAGATAATAAAATAATCTATATTGGCACTAATTATAAAGAACACTATTCCAAATGCACTCATACCTCAGAATAGCGTATACTGGTAGTGGTAGTCAGTCAGCCTCGGAAGTCAGACACAAAGTGCCTGACTTCCACAAAGTGCCTGAAGATATAAGACTGGCTAGGCCTTACGAAAGGAAAACATTACGACATTGTTGTCCACACGAGTGAGGAAAAAACGTTACACATCCTCTTTCTCAAGCCGAGTTCTCACTAGAACTTGGATACCTAGAATGCATGTCCGCAAGAAAGTTCTTAGAACCCTTAACATACTATATGTGGATAGAATAATCTTGCATTACAAAGCTCAGCGCATTCTAACAGTTGTAAGACAATTTTTCATTTAACCACATCGGTGGAGAGTGATCAGATCATATGATGAATTTACTACCGTATAAATGATCATGAAATTTTTCAATGACCCTTTTAATAGCTAACATTCTAATTCTATTGTCAAGTTCAACCATTGAACGATCAACTCAAAATTGTCTGCTCAGTCAAAAATTTGTCGGGAAAAGGATGTGCTTGACTTACAATGGAGCCTTCTATAGTGAAACTGTGCTGATTTTCAGAATTTAAATTCCAGCAAAAGAGAAATGGAGTAATCATTGATTAGTTTATTGCAATGTTTCCAATCTTTCGTAATTGCTCTACAAAAGATTTATATTATGTTCTTGTTTTAGTTATTCGGCCCATATTGTTTTAGTACACGATTCACATCACCATTCCCTTAAAGCTGTGATTAAAATTGAAAACTCAATTTATGTAATGTGTGTCCAATTCTGCTCGTCCAATTCATTTGTTAAGTTTCTATTGGGATGATTAAATAAATAATCGGACAAGTTTTGCAACAAATAATTGGTTATACAGGCCATCGCTTGAGTCATTCCATCGAATTTGTACTAATGTTGTCGCATGGATGTGTTACAACGCAGTTTTCTTAGTTTATAGCCGTGGCCCCTGGTGTTGGTTCTTGTTTCAAATTCTAGTAATCCTTCTGGGACCTTGTATAAGCCATGAGTATACTTGTAAGCTTCAATGAGGTCCCCACGCAGACGTCGATAACTGAGGCTTGGTAGCCTCAGTTATCGAGAATTAATTATATTATAGGGAATTAATGCAGTTTGTGATCGATTGGTGCAAACAATTTTAACTTGTGAACTTGATTTGTAATACATCCTGATAACAGCTCCTCTATTAGCTACCTTAGTCATCCCTCATCTTTGTTTGCAGCGTCCAATTTAAACTCGAATCATAAATTTTTCCTTTATTTAAAATTTAATTACTTTAATTCATTACAGTCAGGTGTAAAACTTAGCCAAGTTAATATGGGTAATATCTAAACAATTGTGCTTAATGTATACAAATTAACAACACTTCTGAGCACGCGTCACTCACAAATGTTGCATTACATGTACAATATACAGTTGTATACATATATAATGCTTCATGAGAATTTACCCAATGAAATGTCTGGTAGAGTGTGTAACCTCGATGAAGGAATCTACCTTGTAAACGTTTATATTAATCCTATAATTAGGAATTTGCCTCTAAACATGATATATCAAAAGTTGATATATCAAAAGTTGAGTTAACCCACGAAACTTTCTTGCGACCACACATGCATCTTACTTACAGAAGCCAATGTGCTTTTATAATGAATCATTCTTCGGCATCTAAGCTAAAAATTAATTTTTAAGCATTTAACATGAAGCTAAGCATTTAACATGAGAAGCTAAAGCTTTTCATGTTAAATTTCTTAGTCCAAGATGGGGTAAAATGCGGCGTCACATCAGCTGTATTGCTGATCTATTGTTGATGAGACGCAAATTTACTTTTTTGTTCTCGGTCTTCGCACCCTATTTATTCAAATTTATTTACGTATGTCAATAATTCTTTTCGAATCGCATATTCATTCATTTAAAAATTTCAGTTAGATAGATAATCCCCCAGTATGTTTTTTTATCTTGTTCTAACATTCCGCACTTTAGCACAAATTAGTCATCTCCCCGACTAGGCGAGTTTTTTTCAGTCTGCGCTGCAACGTCATTACGTAAGTGCGATAAACATTAAGTGAAATGATGGAATTTTCACTGGAAGGCCACGGCAGCATGATTTAATACAAGTTAATAAATTAAAGTATCTATACAAGAATGTTCGCATGTATTAAACTCAAGTACTGAGTTTAATATCGTTAAATGAACCTATTGTGAGTCAAGAATAACTTAAACCTGGTTAATCTTAAAAGACTGGCTACTGTAGCGCAGTACTAGCGGCTCCAAGTTGAGATGAGTCAGTCATGGGTTTGAGCTTGGGAGAGCTCAATTTATTTCTCTGCGTCGCTGATAAGCAGCGCATGATGGGCGTCGAAGGTGGTGCATCATCGTGGCCGTGGGCGGTGTCTAGAACAAACACCGGTTACCAGTTACTTGGGGGAGGATTTGCTGTATAGCGGTAGTCAAAGACTCTCGCACCCAGTGACATAAATCGAGTCCCTCGATCTTAGGACAGTTTTTTTCTATGAAGCTCAGCTCATATGGTCAGCTCAGTCATTTATTTATCCAGTTCTGGTTAGTAAATGGGTATTTTGCTTGTTCATGGTAATGTTTGATTGAAAAAAAAAATTTAGCTGGTCAGCGAGCCAGTGATGGAACTAAAACTACCTATGACCTTAGTTCAATGAAAAACTGATCTATCAACTTCCACTCTCTGACTTGAGGGATCTCAAATGATCGTCTGAGTTTCAGTTGTCAGAAGAATAAAAAAAATGTGATCCAATTATTAATTGGTCATTTTGCTCAAGCCTGATCGCAATGACTAGATTCGTGAGCGAACACGATGTCGAATTTGTCTATTTTATGTGAAAGCAATTAAGTGTTCTACCTACTCCGAAATTTCCAATTATTTCCTAAATGAGCTTAGAGACTTTTTGGAATCATCACCTGATATTAGGCGGACGATTAACCTAAGCTGATATAGCATGAGCTTTTCCGGGATTTGAAGAAGCGAATGAAGCCTGAGGTTTGGACTAAGTTCTTCATATGCTCACTATCTTTGTCGTTAATGTTCTCTCTCCAACAGTTCTTTAGTTCACAGAACTTTGTTTTAGTTCACAGAACTTTCAATAACTGAAACAATTTTAAGTAAATTCACTGAACATCGGCACTGCAGAAACGTTTAAGCAATATCTCGCAACAACTGCGCCGCATTCTTAGCATTCTTAACATCTATGCATAATACACGTTCAATATTACCTATGTTCAATATTACCTACTTTATTCAAAATGACCTCTGAAAATTCCGATTATTTATGTTTTTCAATGGAATAAAACGTAGAAATTCGCTAAGTGTTTCCGTGATGAAACGCATAGGTTTTTATTTCTTCTCGCTCCAATGTATTTATAATGAATTTAATTCTGTCGGACGATCGGAAAATTGCTATGAATTTTCAATTTTATCAATTTCACTTATTTGTCTTTACAGATCTCCAAGTATTACCTCGTTCAGTTTTTTGTTTTGTGGTAAACAGAGCATTTTGGCAAAATTTTTTATGTCCTGACTAATTTCACCGTCTATATTCTATTGTTTACGTTCAAGATTGGGGTCAGCTTATATAGAACAGGTCTCTTGCCCCACTATCTCTGACGCCCGATATCAGGCCGGTCTCGCCCTCGATATTCCAAGCTGCAAGAGACGTGATCTCTTCACCGACTCGTGGCTTGTATACCTCAAACTACTCCACATCAAATAACTGTACATCAAGTAACTGTACCCTCAAATTATTGTAGAGCAAATGATTTTTCATCAAATAATTGTATATTAAATTACAAGGATTCTTTCATGGCTCGTCACTGGTTCTTCTGTCAACACGCGCCTCGAGTTTCCAACAGAAGGTTTCTCTAGACTCTTGTGTTCGTTGAGATGACTTCTCTATCAGAATTATTTTCACTTATTAATATTATTACTGACAGAATTTTTGTCAACAGAAACCATGACATCGTTTCAGGTATGAATTTAAATTTATAGTAAAAATTTTTGTGAACTGCCCAGCTCATTATTTCAAAGAAAATATTTTAGGCTGCCAGCACCGAACTGCGGCATAATGTAGAAAATTATTTCAAATCACATGTCGTTTGCGACGCTCTTACCGCTCTATATATGGCACGATGGTAGCAGCTTGTTGCTGCTGCTGCATGGGTTCGAAGCAGGGAACTTTGTTAGCAGTTCGTAGTGCACTTCTGCTACCAAATGTGTGTTGGGGCACTATAGATATTCATTTATACGTCAGTTGAGTGAAAACTGTAGAGCTTCTTATGGTTTTGCTGGAAGTACTTTACAGGCTTTGAGATCTGCAGCACTCTGAAGCATCATACTAAAAGATACGTTTCGGCATTGTATGAACGGAATTGACTACGGAATTCCTGAAAAAATCTTAATGAATAATAGCAATATATCATTCAAAATTTCATCACAGTTCAAGCAATTTTGGCTGTGAGTAACAATTATATTTTTGGTCTAGACTTCATTTCTTTCTGACATAAAATAAAATCCACTCAGGGCTTTTTCTTGGCTACTAAGAGACTAGAGTGCATCAACGGTTGTCACATTTATAAGTTTATAGTTCCGAACTTGGTTTTTGTTTCAAAAAGTTTTAAAGGTAATACAAGTTGGCATTTACGCAGAATTGATGAATTAAACCTCCTATACGGGATCATTAAAAACCGCGCACATGCGAGGTTTGCAATGTTATTTGATTGTGTTATTAGCTGCCGAAAGTATTCGCTCTTGAAAATTACTTATATTGAAGTAAGGGTATCAACTCAAGCATTTGAATCGAGTTCAAATTAAAAGGTAATTTAAAGATTGAAAATAATTTTGGTTCAACCGCCACCCCCCAGGTAAACTTGAATAGCAAGTGCACTACCACAGCTCTGAAAAAAATTCTTAACGATAATATCTGCTTGACGATGATATCTCGCTGCCGAGATATCAGTTGCATCAATTTTCGTTAAAAATGAAGCTGAGTGCACGCCAATATATCTATGGATCGCAATCTGTATATAAGCTATTTACC